TCAGAGCCTTCACCTGGGGAGACAGAACCCAGGGAGAAACGAGGGTCTGGAAGGCCTCGAGCCCCAAACCACATCTCCCCCTACATAATCCTTTGTAAAAAGCTCCTCTCTCCTCTTTCTTACATACACAGGTCTTGGCAGGCATAGCCATGTGTCTGAAAAGTCGGTTCTAGTCAGGCTGAACTCTGGGAGCATCACCCAGTGGAGGGAAGCACAATCAGCACAGATCATTCTTTAGTTTTGTCTCTTGTTTTGACAAGGTTGATTGCCAGTTGTTGAAATAAGGTTTTGATGAGGTTGCAAGAGTGTATAGTTTTGCTTTTTCATTAAGGAATTGCTTTTCACACCAGAGTATCAGGTTTGGTAAACCGTCAGAAGTCCTAAATGCAGGCTGAAGCCTTTAGTTAAGTCATAGCTTTGGGAGTATAAAACTATATGAAAGCACACGGCTTGAACTTGATGGCCACTCCTCCTTTACCTTCAACTTGATTCGGTCTTTGGCCTTGGTGGATAAATAGAGTACTCAACTCCTATACACTGAATTTTAGGAATGTTGTTGGAACGGCCTCCCTCCATGCCCTCAGACTCAGGGGTCAGGACAGTCTGAGCAGTATGTGGGCCATGGAGGGGAGGCGCATCGCTCACCCGCCCAGGTCTAGTGCCCCGCTGAGATCTGTTGTCTCTGCATGTGTGGTAAGTTTCTCTCACACACAGATGACAGGATGTTTAGGGCTCAACATGCCCAGATTTATTCCCTCTCCATCTCTCAGGGAGACAAAGTACCTCCTTTCTGGACCAACGAGGTGCCAAGTTTTCTAGTTCAGTGCCCATGCCCACCCCCTAAGCAGACATTGGTAGTATCCTTGCCCTGGGTCCTACCCTTAATCCCCACTCCATCCCTGTCTCCATGCAATGCCTGGCACACTAGAAACACTTAAAACTTATGTAGTGACGTCTACCTGCCATCATGTTTTAGAGAGATTCACAGTGTTCAAACCAAAACACACGCACACACAAATTTTTCTCTCGTGTTTTTAAGATTTTTTAAGTAGGAAAGAATTCACTGGCCTTCCTCCCCGAAATCCACAGCCTTTAAAAGGACTTTCCAAGCAGAGAGCCAGAATCCAGCTCCCTGACCTCTTGTGGGAAGGAGCCACAGCTTTTCCTCCATGTTTTGTTCACTCTCAACCATTCTCGTCTGGGTAAAGTCTGTGGATTAGTTAGTGGAGAATGAGCCCTCTGCAGGAAAGAAAAAAAATAAGGAAACATATGGTCTGTTAAGGGTTCAGTAGAGAAAAGTGTGTTGATTGAAGCTATATTCCTCCTGGGAAGTAGTAATCATAGTTGACAGCTATGGAGTAGGTACTTACTATCTCCTCGAATCTTCTCAGTGACTTCGCGACCATTATTTTCCCATTTTACACAAAACTGAGACTCAGATTTCTAAAAAGGCACTAGGTGGGAGCTACAGTGAAGAAAGGAGTATTTGGTCCTCCCTCTGACTCCAAATACTGCTCTCTATTTTGGGGGAAGTGGAAACATAATCGCACTCTTACACACACACGCAGATGTAGGAAAAGACTGAGAAGTGCAAACTAGACCTTCATCCTTGATGGCAGTCTTCAGTCTTCCCTGCTACAGACATTATCCATGGTTCTAATTTATGGTTATCAGTGAGAAAGTCCAGGGATATAGATTTGCCTTCTTGCTTTGATAATTCTTGGTTTAAAAAATATCATAACACATCTTCAGCCATCCATGACACAAAAGAATTTTTCTTTGGGGGTGCAATGGGGATACAATTGGGGGGGTGTCTCGGTTTATGTATGTTCCCTGCCCATACTCTCCTCAGCCCCTTGCCCTGTCCCCACCCCAGCACCATGGTGGAAGGGGACTCTGGTCTTTTCTAAAATGGGTGGTTTGTCTTCTGGTCTTTCCCCTTGGGATGTGTGTGTGTCCGCATGTGCCGGGTGCGTGGCATGCGTGAGAGTGCGTATGCGTGTGAACAGCTTTGGGTTCTGCTGGTTTTGCTGGGAGCTGCAGTGTTCTATGGGTCTGTGGTATTTGACACTGTGGACATTAATGTACTTCTTGGACATTTTAATAAAAATTTTTTAACAGTTCAACCCGCCTGTCACTTCCTGACACCTTCTTTCATTCATTCACTGAGCAAGTACTTCCTAAGTAACCATTATGACTGTGTATGGTGCTGGGTGCTGGGGAGTAGTGATAAACAGGACATACCTATCCCCTGGGAGGAGGTCAGGAAGGGCTTTCTGGAGAGGGTGGATGGAATCTAAAGGAGGAGGAGCATTAACTAGACAAAATGGGGAAGAAAGGAAGAGCGTGTCAGGCAGAGGTAAAAATCTTCTTGCAGTGGGGAAATGGCTCATTTGGAAACAGCAAGGAGTCCATAGTAGTTTGAGCAGTGATAGAGGCAGAGGGCGGAGGAAGATGAGGTTAGAGAGGCAGAGGATGGGCCACTGAGGTCTTTATGGGTTGTAGTGAGGAGTTTGGGCATTTTCCTAAAGGCAATAGTGGCAATAAACATCATAAATGAAGTCAAAAGACAAATGCCAAGCTTGGAAATGTTTTTTTCAAAGCAGAAATAAAGGAGTTTTTGCCTTAATATATAAAGAACTCCTACAAATCAATAGGAAAAAAGACTAATCCAGTAGCCAAATGGACGAGGGCTATGAACAAAGAGTTCACAGAAAAGGAAATAACAGGTTGCTCTTAAAATGACAACATGTGCTCCACAAAATAACACACATTTTGCAAGAATACCAAGAAATGTATATATTTTTTAAAAGGGAATAAGCAAATAAATCTAACAAGGGAGCGACCTTGAATAGATCAGTGATGAAGATCTGCCTGAAATGCAAATGATTTTATGATTTACTCAGCCACTTGCACCTAAGGTGAAAGTGGAAGATATTCACTTTTACACATAATAAGAAAATTGCAAGTGACAGCCACAATAAGATACCATCTTTTACCTATCAGGCTGGCTAAGGTAAAAAGTGATAACACACAATGCTTGTGAGGATGAGGCAAAAGTACATGTGTTACTGGCGAGGTATAAATCGACCGCACCTCTAAGAAGGGGTGGAGCTCACTGTAAAAAAGGCAAGTTTTGATCTCTTGACCAAACAATCCTGATATCCTCATTACATTTGCACTTGTGTGTGATGGTAAGGGTACTTATTAGTAGCAGCAAAATATGAGAAATAATCTAAATGTCCTGGGGCATCCAAATAATGAATACTCTGCCATGCTTTGAAAGAATATGTGTGTGTGTGTGTGTGTGACCTTTATATGCTGATGGAAGTTATCTCAAAAATATATTATGTAAAAGAAAAATTCTTTAAAATACGTATGTGGCACATGAATGTTCTTAGCAGTGTTATTCACCTTTGCCAAAAGGTGGAAAAATCCAAAGGTCCACCAACTGATGAATGAGTAAACAAAACGTCTATTCACACCATGAAATATTACTCAGCCATAAAAAGGAATAAAGTTCTGCTACATCCTACAATGTGAATGAACGTCAAAAACATGCTGAGTGAAAGAAGCCAAATACAAAAGGCCATATATTGTAGGATTCCCTTTATATGAAATGTCCAGAACAGGCAAATGCACAGAGACAGAAAGTATAGTAGCAGTTGCCAGGGCAAGGGTTGGAGGAGGGAGGAATGGGGAGCAACTGCTTACTGGGTACAGGATTTTCCTTTAGTATGATGAAAATAACTTGGAATTAGAATAGCAGTGATGGTTGCACAACACTGTGAGTGTACTAAATGCCACTGAAAGTACACTTTAAAATGGTTAAATGGTGAATTTTGTTATGGAGTTTACAATATAGGAAAATGTGTTGCACACTCTCATCTGTAAAAATGGGGCAAAGAAATATACATTCATGTTTGCTTGAATAAACATAAAACATCTCTGGAAGGACATGTAAGAAACTTGAGATGTCTCTGGGAAGTGAATTTGGTGGTGGAGAACAGGAGAGAGAGACATTTTTCTGAATAAGTAGCTTCAGGAAACAGTCTTTCCAGGTTGTCATCCTGTAACTCTCCTCCAAGTGGGCCCTGGAGACTGCCACTCCAACAGTGCTGGTACTTGAGCAGAAGGAGGGCTCCCTCAGCTCAATGGATCCACCAAAATCCCAGGGTCTGAGTCTCATTGGTCTACCTGCTTCTATGTCCATCCTTGGGCCAATCAGGATTGCCCAGGGAGGTGGGCCACAGCATTCAATGGCCAAGCTGGAAGAGGATGGATTCAGCCCCTCCTACTCCCTTGGTATGGTGTGCTTTACACTCAGATATAACATACTCATGGAAAAACCAGGGCGATCTGGTACCATGGAAAGGAGGGAGGATCCCGGCAGGGAGAGATGGGATGAAAGAAATCCCGTGTACTCCTTTCTGGAAACATGCCTCTTACCATTACCGCCTTTCTGGAAGCTAATGCCCAGCTAGAGCCTGAGGCACTCTAACTGAGGGGCTGCACCCTGCCTTCAGATGAGAGGTTTGTCACTGGTATTGAAGATGAGCAGTTACATTTATCATCGCACTTGTACAACCTAATCAGACCTTTACACTTTTTCCTCTTCTGCTTTTGTATCCCAGAAACTTTGAATGCTTGTCCACCGCACCAGGGAAAATTTGCAACATCTCTGCCTTCCTGGTGCAGGAACTCCCCATCCCGTGCTGGGGGATTGAGAGGAACCTCTGGATCTGTCAGTGACTGAGTCAGAACAAGGTTGAGAAGGGCCAGACCCCTGGGGGATGGCTCAGGGGAACAGTGGGAGCAAGACAGGGGAAGGAAAAGCAAAGAGAGATTGGAGAGTGGGGAGTGGTCTTGAGGAATCACCAAAGATGCTTCCCAATAGAATCATCATCAGGCTGCCCCGGCTTGGAAACATTTTGTGCACCAAAGTGCGTTTATGCAGTAATTACCCCCTGGCTACCTCATTTTCTCACTCATCAAGAAAATAAAGAAAGAAAGATTTATTGAGCCCCTGCTGTATGCTTTGCACTCACTTAGAACAGTCCGGGTACAGAGGAGGAGGAAACAGGCTCAGGTCTTTTGTCACTTGGTCAACAGAGGCAGGATTCAAACCCAAGCCTATCTGCTTTCAAGACCCACAGATGTGTTTCCTCAAGATGGATGGCTTAAGGAAGGCTTCAGGAGGGACCCCAGTGCTACTCCAGGCAAGATCTCGGAGCTTGGGTCTCCCATCATCGGGGTGACCACGTGCACGGGCCATCTCTCCCAAGCTGGCTCCCAACACTGGGGACTCTGGCTGGGTCCTCACTTCTTAGCTGTAATTGCCCCTTAGAATCTGGAGCTCAGGATGGATTTCCAGGTTTGCAGACTTTCTCTCTCCTGCATCTCTAAGGAGGGAAATTGTGGCGAGGGGCATTGGGGGGCTGATGCTGTGGGGAGTTAGGAAAGGAGGAGCTCAATGAAAATGAGGATGTGATCTTAGGAAAAGGGGAGTCCAGTTGCTTTCACAGCTCAAAAGGCAAGGGCATGCCGGAGCCTGTTTGTTCACCTGCACGGAGGCAATGAAAACACCTGGGTGTTGCAAAGGTGTCTCGTGCACAGCTGCTGTCTGGAATATACTTAGCGTGCAAACGGAGGATGTCCAGCAGCTCCGGAAGTCCAGCGGGGTCTGGGGAGGCTGCTGGGCACTGGGCCCATCTGGTGAAGGGGCAGACATGAAGCCCTATGGGGCGCAGTTCCGCCCCATGGAAAGAAGTTTCTGGGAGCTGCTTGGTCGGTTTCATGGGGATGACATTGACAGTCTCCATGGTGACAGTTTGGCGGGAAGAGCCCTGCCCACAAGGGAAAGCCTTGGGACAGGTGTTCTGTTACCTCAGACACCAGAGTTTGGTCTCCATGGCAACAACTGTTGGGGTCCAAGGAGCTTGGGGGTATGGCTTGGCGGGGGGACAAGGAGCTGGGATACACCTGGGGAGAGAGGGGCAGCCTGTTTCCATGGTGAGGGCAGGAAAACCAATGATGGGACAGCTTGCAGGGAGGATGGTCTCAGTGGCGGTTGATCAGGGCGGGGACGGCCTGAAGTCGAGTTGTAGGTCTCTGAGGTGGGGGCTGGTGAGATGAGAAACGTTTGGTTTCCATGGTTACAGCTGGAGAAGGGAGGCAATATTCTTATGGGTGTGACCAATGAGGAGGGAAGGGCTGTGTGCCTCTAGGTGACAGAAGCTGGGCCGGTCGCCTTGGTAACAATGGGAAGTGGGGCAGCTTGTCTCCACAGTAAGTGACATGGATCGTATGGGTCCCTGGGCCGAGAGGACGGTCTCTTTGGTGACAGCCAGGAAAGGGGCCGTCAGGGGGCGGATTTGCTCCCGTCAGAGAGATACCTGAGGGGTGGGGCATGGCCGCCAGTTATGCGAGCCAGCTGGGGGGTGTCAGTCTGCTGTAGCGGTGACAGACAAGGGTGGTCTCCCCTGAAACTGAAGGGGTGGGGCCGTTCTCCTGGTGTCCTGAAGACGTGGCCTGTTGTGGAAATTTCCGGGGACTGGAGGGGGCGGGAAGAATGGGAGTACCCAATCTCTAGGTCTCCATAGGGGAGAGGACAGGAGCCCACAGTCTCCCTGAGACCACGTGTGTGGTCACCTGATGAATTCTGAGGTTTCTGGTTTTTCTACAGGTGACAGGAGGGTTCAGTACCCAGGTGACCATAAGGGATCAGTCTTCAGTCTTCAGGGGCAAAGGGCATGTGGCCAGTCCCCAGACAACCCCGGGGGTCCAGCCTCCAGGCGACCACGGCGATGGTTCCGTCTGTTTCCAGGTGACCTCAGGAAGGCATGGCCAGTCTTAAGGTCTGCTTCCCTCCAGGTGTCCTCAAGGGTGTGCCCCACCTCCTGGATTAAGTCGGGGGAGGAGGGGAAACCCACTGTCCAGGAGAGGTAGGGCTTAGTCGGTCTCCGGGGGACTCCGAGGGACTTGTCTGTGGGAATGACCAGTTTCTGGGGACCTCAGGGGGCGTGTTCTGTCTCCAAGAGACCGCAGGGCACTCGGCCAGCCGCCAAGCGCCCCAGCCGCCTTCGCTCTGGGCCTAGACGCGTAGCGGCGTCCAGGCGGCTGGGTCGCGCGCCCCTCCAGCCCAGCCACCGCCTCCTGCCCAGCCCCAGCCCCAGCCGCCGGGTGCGGGGTCAGGCGCTCCGGGCGCACGGTAGCAGTAGACGCCGAAGAGGCGGCGCGCGGTGTCGGGAAAGCCAAGGCTGCGCACGCCGGGCCGGCGACCGCCGCAGCGCGCGCGCGGGTTCACGATGGGGTAGCGCGCGCTCCCGTCGGCCAGCCAGCCCGCGGTGCAGCGGTCCAGCAGCTGCAGCTTCCACGCGGCAAAGAGCTGCCCCACCTTGGCCACCGCCGCGCCGCGCGCTGCACACGCGCGCGCAGCTCCCGAAAAGGGCACGGGCCGCAGTGGCTTCAAGAAGAACACGCGGCCTGCAGGGGGGTGGGCGAGAGTGGTTAGGGCCGCTCCCGGGACTTGGCCTCCTCGAGATTCAGTACACCACCACCCCACCTCAACTCCTGCAGCCCGGGACCCCCCCAGCCTCGGCCAGGGCAGTGTTGGCGCCAGGCTTAATTGCCTCGCCGTGGCAGTTCTGGGGGAGGGATCTTCTGGTCGGGACCCCTAAGAGGGCCGTTATGGGGACGAAGGGCAAGGGGAGAGGAAACGGGGGCGTGGGTGGAAGAGGGAAAGAGACCCCATGAGAGGACAGCCTAGGGGCGGGGCCTCATGGCCGGGGAGGGCTTCGGGAATGGTGGGGGCGGGGCCTACACACCCGGGAGGTTGGATGTGAAGCAGAAGGCGTCGTAGCGTTCCTCCGCGTTGTGGCGGTAGCCGTAGTTGCGCACGCCCCCGGAGGCACTGCCGCCCATCCCGGCGCTCCCGGCCCCGCCTAGGCCTCCGCAGGGCTCCCGGGGCTGGCTCACCGGGTACTGCACGGAGCCGTCGCGCAGCCAGCCCGCATTGCACCAGTCCAGGCCATCGCGCCAGGCCGCGTGCAGCTGCTCAGCCGACGCCAGAATACCGTCCTGCTCAGCGCACGCGCGCTGCGCTTCGGTGAAGGTCAGCTTGTAGCGGCCTCCACGGGGGTGGTATGGGAAGACCACGCCTGGCGGGACGCACGGGGGTCAGCTCGGGCCCCCCAGCCTGCCTCCACCCGCCTGACAGATAAGAGTGACACGTGACTCTTCAGCCTAGACCTTCCCGACCATCCCTTGCTCTGGCTCCAGACCTGACCATGCCTTTTCCCAGCTCACACCCCTCATGACTCCCTTTACCATAAGTTTAGAATTCACTTGACCCTTTCCCTTAACACAGTTAATCATTTCCACCACTGGACACCTTTACTCATGTTCTTTGCTCACTTTTCCAAAACCTGATGAACTATTCATCTTTCAAAACAGCTCCCACACAGAACAGTGTATCACAGAGAAGGGACATAGGGGATCTCTGGCAACTTGCTGCACTGATGGACAGTGGCTGCATTGGGGTCTGGGTGGGGACTTGATAATATGGGTAAATGTAGTAACCACATTGTTTTTTCATGTGAAACCTTCATAAGGGTGTATATCAATCATACCTTAATAAAAAATTTTAAAAAATTAAAAAAATTAAATAGCTCCCACAAGCCTTCTCCATTCAGTCCTACATGCATCTCACATTCCCCCTGCAGTAGGAGCTTCCCTCTTGTTGTCCACAGACCTGGGAATGTTTGTGTCCAGTGCTGACTCCCCTGAAAGGTAACTCTGGGCAAAAACCTCTTTGATTCCCAGCATTGCCCAGGGCAGGTCCCATCGGTTTCCCTTTCACCTTCAGTTCTTACAACTTGTCCCTCATTTGACTCACTGTCAACTCAACTCATGAGCAACTTGTGTGTCTGTGTTTGAGGGGCAATCCTTAGAGGTGCAAATGCATCTCTCAACAGAAGCGGGAAGGAGTGAAGGGGCCAGAGAGAAGACCTGAAGCCTGACGGATCAGGGTTTGAGTCCTGGCTCTGTACTCACTAGCTTGTGTCTTGGGCCAGGCTCTAATTAACCTCTGAGCCAGTTCCCATCTGCTGGTAATAGCGTCTTCCTCAGGGTTTTTGGAAAACTAAATGAGACACAACAGAGAGTTCTTCAAGAGCCTGGCATATTGAAAACACCCAATGTAGGAAAGTCGCTATTATTATTTGCTATTGTTGGGAAGTTCAGCAAGTGAGGGCTCTGAAAGCTCTCCTAGCATCTTCTAAAATGGACTGAGGAAAGGAAACCAAGTGTGAAGGAATTCTTCAGATAGAGGCCCCACCTCCAAGCTCCACTGTCAGCCAATCAGTATCCCATCACCCAGCCACAGCGATTGGCTCATGGATGAGCACGTGACTCAAGCTGGGCCGCTTAGGGACAACTCTGGGATTCTAGCTAGCATTCCTAGGAAATCAATCGTCCTTTGGTTTCATTGGGGAAGACCTACGCAAGGGAAGCAGAGCTGAGGGAGGGGTTCCTGGCATGTGAATGCCTGGATCTCACTGTGCCAGCACCCTAAACCCATTACTGACATTTTGGACTGGATTATTCTGTGCCCTGGGGCACTGTCCTGTGTGTTGTAGGATGTGTCACAGCATCCCTCACCTCTACCCATTAGATGGCACCAGCAACCCCCTTCTGGACATGTCCAATGTCCCTGGGGAGAAAAACTGTATCCCAGCAAGCCTCTCAGTTCCTTCAGATCAACTTGATATGGTTTCTGTTCCTTGCAATACTCCCCATTCTCCTTTCTTAGAAATACAGCTCACTCTGCCCATGAGCTGCTTACCTTCCAGGTCCAACTTGACCATTCCTGTGTCATCCTCCAGCTCATTGGTGACCTCACACTCATATCGTCCATAATCCTGCAGTGTCACGTTGCGGAGAACCAGGGAAGCATCCCCCGGCCCGTCGCCCTGCAGCTCTGCTCTGCCGCGGTAGCTGCCGAATGCCCGGTGCTGGGGGCCCAGCGCCACGAAGACGTCGGCAAAGGCCAGCGGGTCCACCACTTTGGTCCACTTGAGGCGAACGCTGTCATGGCCCTGGGCAGCTGCCTCGTAGTGGTAGCGGCAGGGCAAGACGATGGTGCCACCCCTGTGGCTGACCACCTGCCCCGGTGCGGTCTGTACCACTACGGAGCCAGACTCACCCTCTGCAGGTGATCAGGCAGGGTTCAGAAGAGTTCCTAGGGGCAGGGAGGGGGAATCTGGGGAAGGGGACCCTGGGGAGGAGGGGATGTGAGAAATCTTGGGTGGAGATCAGGGTTATCAGAGGGGCCAGGGGAGGGGCCTGGGACTCAGCGGAGGAAGGGACCGGAGCTGGGGTGGGGGGGCTTTGGCTATCATGGACGTTCAGTGCCCCACTCCCTGTCTCCTCCCTGCACCCAGGCCACCCCATTTGGCCACAGCTCCTGCCGGGCAAGACCCGCTTCCACTGCCCAGACTCACCGAGCACGTGCACTACCTTCTTTCGGCCGCGCTGCGCCCCCACGGGGACCGCGAGCAGCAGGACTCCGCAGGCCGCGGCCCAGAGCCCGCCGGGACCGAGGGCCGTCCGAGCGCACACCTGGGGGCACGGGGCGCTCAGCCCAGCCTCCTAGCCTTTGCCCTTCGGAGGATCACTCCTCTGGCCTGCCCTCCCCGCGGCAAGGACTCCTCCTATGCCCAGGTCCCCGCCCCAGCCAGGGCCCCAGAGGACCCCTCCAAGGAGGGGGCTGGCAGACCCTTCCAGACCCACCCCCACCCCCGCACTCCTCCGGGCGCCCACCCCTTCTCTCCTGTGCAGAGCCCACGCCAGGGCCTCACCCTGCCTTAGTTCTGCGCGGGCATCCCGCCTGACCCCCTAACCCCAGCGCTGGGGGCCCGAGCTCCGCCCCCTCGTGTCGGCCCCGGCCCGGGATCGGAGGGGGGAGGAGGGGGAGCTGGAGCAGCGGCGGCGACAAGGTTATCGGTGCGCCAGGAGACTGCAGCAAACCGTGCCGGGGTTGAGGGGCGGCGGCGGGCGGCGGGGGGTGACAGAGACCGGCACACAGGGAGGGCGAGAAAGGGGGGGACACACAGAGAGGGAAGCGGGGAGAGATGAGGGAGAGGGAGAGACGCAAAGAAGGGGGGACACCGAGGTGGGGGGACGCAGGGGAGGAGAGAAGAGGGGGAAACAAGAGGAAGGAAAAGTAGGGAGAGACGGAGAGGGGCTGCGAAGGCGGCCGAGAGTTCCAGAGACACCAGAACGTGAGAGACAGAGAAGAGATGGGAGACACGGAGCGACGTAGACACAGACACAGAGACAGCATCCCGGGAAGGACCTACAGGGACACGCGCCTCCGGCCCCACTCACCATCCTGCCCGTGCGGCCCCCTCCGAGGGGCCCCCACGAGCTGGGACTGCGCTCCCCGCACACCCGGGAAGGACTGGGCAGGTCCTTTCAGGGGGCGCAATCCTGGCGTCTGCCTGCAAGGGGAGGAGGGAGATGGCTGGAGAGGGGGGGCGTTAAAGGGAACGTGGCGGTGCGCGCTCCGCGGGAGGAGGAAACGCGCGCTTGACAGTGAGTGCAGGAGCAGTTCGCTGCCCGCCTGGCTGACCTTGAGCCCGCGGGACAACCTCTCCGGGCCTCATTAAAATGCAGGAGGGAGAACTGGTGGGGCCTTCCGTCTTGGACACCCTGGGTGGGCAGAGGGCTTGCGTAACCTGGGAAAGGGGCTTGGCGGGCCGGTATTAGTTTTCCCGTTTGCCGTTGGGAGACCATCTCTGGGTCCTGGCTCCGGCACCCAAAAGGTGCTCACTCTGTGGGGTGAGGAGCCCCACAACAGTCACACACTCTGCACGGCAGACACACAGCAACAAGTCCAAAGCCCCCTCCACCCCTCACTGGCTGTGGGACCTTGGAGGGGGCACTTGGTCTCTCCAAGCCTCAGTTTCCACCTCTGGGGAATGGGAGTGCTGGTTCTTTGCTAGATGTCTAATAAACAGTAGGGCAGGGAGCAGGGGAGTCTGATCAACCCCTCAACCATTCTGAGCAGGGGTCACCCCGAACCCGGCCTCTCACCCAAGTTCAAAAATTGAACCAGGAAACAATGAACCCTTCCCCCAATCCCTTGGCTGCCTCCACAGCCTCAGTTTCCCCCAAAATATGAGCCCCCCAGACAGCAGAGGCAAAGTTATGAGCTCTATGTTTGAACAGGCCCAGATAGGACTCCACCCCTCACTCAGCATCATCCAGGAAACTGACCTTGGACCAGAATCTTCCCCACCTGAAGTATAGGGTGAGATCCAGCATGTAGCAGGTGAGGTTAGCCCTTGGCATGGTATACAGCAGGTGCTTAATAACTGTGCCACACTATTAGTTGTTATAATTTATTGGCAGAGCTTAGATTTGAGACTTCTCTTCTGCCTGTGACCTCAGACAGGTCTCTGGCCCTTTCTGAGCCTCAGGTGGAGCTGTACACACCAACCAGAGGCAGGCTTCGGCTGTCCAGCACCTCCAGCTCCAGATGATCAGGCAGGCAGTGATGAGTAGGCCCTGGTGGGGTCTGAGAAACAGGTCCCTTGCCCCTGCACCCTGAAACACTGAGGCAGCAAATGTTTTGGGCATCAAAGGGTTTTTCCTAAGAGGACCCATGGGTAGGCTCTGGGAGGGAGTAGAAGAGCCTATGTGGAGTCGGGACAGCACGGGAGCGGAGCGTGGCTGTGGCCCTCTCTGCGGGAGCCCACGGCCCTTGGGCCTCCTGGTCCCCCTGCTGGCCTGGAACCACCATACCCAGAGCCATACCCCCTTCCTCTCAAAAGCCCAACCCACCCTTCCCAGGGCAGGGAGGGCTGGGCATGTAAACAGAGTCCTGGGGTGCCCCATGGCTCCGTCAGTGCTGCTTCTTGTGGTGTGCTGGGGGCCCAGGGGGTGGGTGCAGGAAGAACGTAGGCCACCACAGGCAGCGGAAGGCCAGCAGGTGGGGGCCAAGCGCATAGAGCAGGTTGCACGTGAAGAAGCAGGCCCAGGCGTCATCAGGCACCCGGTAGGTGAAGGGGGTGCGCAGGTGAAGGGAGGCACCCATGTGTGAGAACTGCGCCTGTGGCCACAAACAGTGGAGGGATTTCAGGGGCCAGGAGAGAACAAGGCCCGGTATCACTGACCTTCCACCCTGGGCAGTCTAGAGTGTCACCATCCCCTCCTTGCTGGGTCTGTTCATTCACCTGCCTGTCTTCCATCTCCAGTTCCGCTGTCTTTAAATATTCCTGTTTCACATGCCCTGTCTGTCCTTGTCCATCTGTCTGTGACCTGCTCCTCAAGTGCCTAGCTACAACTACCTTTACTGCATCTGCTGGGCCCTGCACCTCATCTCTGTCATGTGGGTCCGACTCCTCTTCCCCATGCCAGCTCACGCACGACCCTTGACACAAATCCCACCAATCCTACCCCATAGATGTCCTCCTGGCCCCCACTGCCCTGGCCTGGGCCCAGGCTTTACCACTTCCCATCAGGAACCCAGAAACAGGACCCCAGCTCCAACTGGGACTGTCACTGCTCAAACACTTCCCGTGGCTCCTACAATTCTCAGCACAACCTTCCGAGCTCAGAGTTCAAAGCCCTCCGCATCTAGCTGCCCATTTATCTTGCCTCTGCTTTTACCCACATTAGAGCTCTGCAAAATCACTGACCCCTCGGTGCCTTTCTTTATGCTGTTCCCATTCCTGCCTGGAGAATTCATACCCACACATCAAAGCCCACTTCCTGTGCTTCTAGGAAACCTTACCCCCTCTGGAATCCTCCTCAGCCCCCATCCCTCCCTCTCTTCAGTTCTGATCCTGTGAGGTTGGGAGTGTCTGTCTCTGGCTCTTTCTCCCCCAAAGTAGGAATCCTGGGGCAGCAGGCTGGGGGTGGGACCTCTCAAAGGCCCAGCACCACCCTACCAGGGGCATCATAAAAGCAGTTGATGGGTAGGTAGAAACTTTCTTCCCCACATACCTACCCACCTCTCCCTCCAAGCCCCACCTCACCTGGCCGATGGCTCCAGCAAACACCAAGGCCCAATCAGGTAGCCAAGTGCAGCCAGGGAAGATGAGTGCATAGACTGCCAGGCCATAGAAGGGCAGCACATAGAACATGTACACCAGCATCTGAGGGGCACACAGACAATGGGATGGGCAGCCACCCCGCCAAGTCTCCTGAGGCACCTGAGTTGGATCCCCCAGGGAGGATCTGGCCAGCTTCAGACCCCACCCAGGAAGGGGACATTCTGCACACCCCACCCCTGTGCAAACTGCTCCTATTATTACCCTTGGGTCTTCCCCCGACTCCACAAACACACACCCTGAGTCCAGCACCTCACTCAAGAAGAGGCATGTGATGTGACCCTGGCCTGGCCAATCAGAACACCCCAGTCTCCTGGCCATAATGGTCAGCTACAGGATGGGCATGTAATTCAAACTGAGCCAGTCAGAGCATGGAGAAAACAGGGGCTCACATTCCTCTTTTCCAGCTAAACAGGGCCTGGAGCTGCCCAAGGCTATTTCGGTCATACCACAAAAGGACTACTTAGGAGTGGAGCCCCATACAAAGGAAGTGCAGCCAGGGATAGAGCTATCCTTGAGTTCCTGGATCCGGCCACACATGAAGACAATATCTGAACTTTTTCGGCAGAACAACAAATTCCATTTGTGCTTCGTCAATTTGACTTGTTTCTGGCACCTGTTTTTAAGAGGCCCAGTGGACCCTTATCCGCAGTAGGATCATGGCCCTCTCTTCCCAACCACCCTCTCACCTGCACCTTCGGATAGGCCACAGGGTCCCGCAGGTATGGCTCATACTGATAGATGTAGACAAAGCAGGCGTCTGTGGGGCAGTCAAGTACCACCTGGGGCAGACAGACAAGCCGACAAGCCACCTCAAACATCCCTCCTACAAGACACTTCACCACACACCAGGGTGGGGCTCATGCCCCTTGTGCTGGCCTCCCCCAGCCCTGGTTCTCTCCTGCTGGCTGGGAACCCACAGATGTTGGAGCTTGGGAGTTTACTGGGAATGGGGCTTGGTCACACAACACTCAGGTTAGACTTGACAAAGAACTTCCCCGGGTGATCAGACAGATGAGCTGTGGCCTTTTTGCACTAGGTAAAGGGAACCCAGTGGGAGGTCGGGGGCAGGGAGGGAGGCTGTGGTGGCACAAGGCCAGTGCAGACTCACTAGGCCCCGGAAGAGAGTAAAGAGCCCAGCAAAGATGAGGTACGTGATGAGGGCCAGGTCAACTGGGCGTCGCAGGAGGCCCTTCCTCTGCTCCTCCTGCACCTGCCCCATGGGAGAGACACGGTGTGAAAAGCCAGCTATCCAACAGGCACTCCACAAAGTTTCATCCTTTCTTTTCTAATGACCAAGGATATCCTTTCAAAAAGACAATGTTTTGACTGGAAACAACTCAGATGGGGGACATTCAGGCAAGGCACTCACCACATGCGGTGGGCAGAAGGTGGGTGCCTGGGACTGGCTGAAGACCCTCATAGCAGCCCAGCATGGGACCAGCATGTAGGGGATGGCAAGGAAGAAGGTGGGCCTCATCTCTGAACTGTACTTTCCTGTCATGGGAGGAGAGAGGGAGTGTCACCCAGCAGGAACCTTCCAGGCCTGGCCAGACCCATAGCTGAGCCATGCCAGAGCCCCTGGCTGGAAGTCTTAATTCACAAATGCCATCCTTGCCCAAGCTCTAATATACTTCTGGCTGCCAAGTGCTCACAAGATGATGTCCACGCTCTTCAGCCTGGCTTGCCTCAATTTACCTTCTGGATACAGCTCCTATGCTTCAGCTGTTCTGTGCTTCCCCTGGATACACCTTGGGCTTCTTCCTGCTCGGCCATCCCCACATCTCCGACTGCCTCACTGCTCCGCCTCCCAAGACCTACCTACGATCCGCTTTAAAATTCCCTTCCTGTGCAAGAGCAGCGATCAGGCCAAATTCCTGGGGCCAGGGCCAGCAGCCTGGAATGTGCTCCTCCCACCAAGAGGAAATGGGAAGGCCAGGAGACAGGAATACGGAGAGGAGGGCCTCTGCAGACCCTGTGGAGGGGATGAGGACCCCTGGGGGCTCCCAGGCACAGGGCAGTGACCCAGCCAAGGAGACGGGATTCCTCAAAGCCAAGTCCTTACCAAGGAGGTTTCCCGGGAGGAACACCAGGATGCTCATGACGAAGGATCCCAGCCAGTACAGCCCAAGGTTTCGGTACCTCTTCCTGGGTGGGTGACGGAAGAGTGACCAGTAGACACCTGTCCCCCAGGTTCAGAGCTCCAGCCAGGGCCCAGGATCCACTGTGGCTTCCCCAGCCCTGGGGGAAGTTTCCCAGTGAAAGAAGACGAGTAGTTGAATGAGGGAATAAGTCAGACCCTCTGGCCAAGGACAGAGTGGCTGCCCCGGCACAGTGCAGGACAAGAGAAGGGAAAGGCAGACCACCATTCCACCTGTGGCATTCCCTGGACCCTTCTC